GCTAGGTGAGGTCGGCACAACATGTGAATACATGTTGTAAGCGGTTTTGGCTACGTTTTTACCGACCGGCCGCCTGCCTGACGTCAACCCTACTTGGGAAAAAACACCCGGATTCGGGATATTTATTTGTGGTTCGCACAAATACTTGTGCCGTGTGGGAATCGAACCCCCTCGACGCCGCCGATGCCAATAGCTTAGCGACGGCCCTGTCGAGTCATTTCAATAATGTTAAGTAAAATGTAAAAGAACGAGTCATTCCGATAATGTTAAGTAAAAAAGTAAAATGTTAAAATAGATTAAAAGCTTATATAATTACGTCCACTACTGGGCAAAGGCTTGGCCTCCACCGGACCGAGGGTATTACTTGGGACACTTGGGGTCGCATAGTGAACTATGACTTCACATATCTTCGAAATATTTTTTTTTTTTGATATTAAAATATGCAGCTTTCCGTCACCAGCACATGATCGGATTCAGTTGGCAATTTATTGTATAAAGTGAATTGAATTAAAAGCGAACGCCCGGACACAGTGCTTTCACGGATTCTGATAATGTAACCTATCCTTACTACGTTCCAGCGTGGAAGTTCTTTATTCAAAAACTATCGAATGTTTTGTACAATGCAATTCAAATTAATTCGAAAAACTGATAGACATTAAAGTTTACACGCGACTATTTGGGAGAACATGAAAAATAAAAATACCATTTATAAAGCTCATTATTCGTACAGCGTTCCTTGTCTGCGCAAAACCGCTTTGCCTTTCGAGCGAAAATAAATCATATCAAATTGCGCTATGGCCGATTTTGAGTTAAACTTGGGGAAAGTTAGTCACCGCGCTGTGAGATTACGAGCGTGTCGTTACGATGCTCGTTTAGATACGCCGCATGAGGAATTGCAGATCTAGAAACGACGAAGATCCGCCGATTGCGTCATGGAATGGCATTGTGTTGTTCATAATCATCCAACGCATTTATCTGCAGCTAATATTTTTATTATATAAATGTAAGCTCTTATACTAAACAAGGATTGTTATAAGTTGAGGAGGCAAACTTCTGATGGTGAATGATCACCGTAACCCATGGACTTACTGCGTTACCCTTTTAAAAAAAATGTACTTCCCGTTACATCAGTAACCGAAAAAAAAGCAAAAGTTTAAATATATTTTCCTCGTGTCGATTCCGTGAAGCCATGGCCGTTCTTCGGTCGCGAAGCTTGTTCAGAAATAGACGACCCTGTTTGACGCCACCATAATTAATATCTCTATAGTTTATGACTAAAGCAGTTTGTTTTTACATATTAAATCAAAAAACATGTCAGGAGAAGAATCACACACATAGTTTGGAGGTAATGTAACCTTACCTGCAAAACGACCGGCCGCCCGCCTGAGGTCATCCCTCATTGGGAAACAAACACAAAACTACGACTTACCTTACACTAGTATATTACTAATAGTTACTAATAGTTCACTTTAAAAAAAGTATTTGAAGGAAATTTAAGATACATTATTTGCTGTTGCCTGTATATCCAAGATCTTCAAATATCTACGATTGCACTATACATAGATATTATTTTAGATAAGTCAAGCCGAGTGACTTGGTTAGTATCGGTGAAAATTTACCCCGGATTACGTTTATTTATGCAATTACCTTGTTATTCCGGAGAACGCTTCCTCTCGTTCGAAGAGGAATTTACGGTTCGCGATGCAAATAAACAATACGACAAAACTTTCCCCTTGGTATCGCTACGACCACGAAGAGGCGAGGAGCGGTTGCGTAGATAAAGGAAAATTTCTCCAAACTCCAACCGATCGATGTTCAAAAGAAAACAAACTCGCGAGGCGGACGCAATATTTTTACGCGAAACGAACCGCCCAAATACTCCGTCGCGACTTCATTTTGTACTCCACTTTTGAGTTAGTTAGAATAGAATAAATTTACTTTATTGCACAGAAGGGAATACGCAGAAGGGAAATACAAGAAACATAGTGTATATATATATATATATATATATATATATATATACCTTATTGCTAATGTAGCAATTTCTTCCAGATAACCTTAGTTGTTTATTTTTCTTAACGTCTACACTATCCATCCGGATGCATGTGGATTGGTAACACGGTTCTAGTTTCAAAATTTATATTGGCTTCTGCTGCAGATAAACTTTCAATTCCTCACGATTCTGAACATTTTTTTTTTTCGACTTTATATTCTCTTTTCTTGTGTCCTTATATTTTTCCATCACTAAACTTCCTTTGCTCGTTTAATCATCCGATTTTTACATAAATAATGCACCAATAATGCATTAAATACACATCTCATATATGACATTTATTCATAGCTATTTGGTATAACTTGAAAGGAAGGTTTAAAGCAAACGATTTACCCGATTTTAAGTGGCATTAACACGTTAACGCCACTAGATATGATGCAGGCAGAAGGTTCTCTTATACCTGATGGAACGAGTATGAATACAATTACCCACACCGGTATATGTCGCGTGGAGCTCGCTTATTCGTGCAGCAGACGTTAACTGTTATTGCTCTATTACAACGTTTCCATTAACTTAGATATAAATAAATATATTTTACGTCATTGCCAACGAAAATTATCTATTATTCACTGTAGTAGAAGCAGCTGTGTCATTATATTATATACATATTAAAGCTTAACGTTTAAAATTTAACGGTGGTAGGGCCACGCAGCAGCCTCGGCTATTGCACGAATGGGCAGGCTCGTCCGTGTAAGTACCATGACCTCACAGAAGACCGGCGTAAAGTGGAAGTATAATACTTTCGCGTTTCGTCTGGTGAGTGAGGTTGCCGGAGCCCAATTTTCAAAAGGTTATCAACGCATCTGCAACCCTCGGATGTAGCAGATGTCCATGGGCGGCGGTATTCACTTAACATCATGTGAACTGTCTGCTCGCCTGGCAATTTTCACATAAAAAAAAGTATGTACAGATCATTTTATTGACGTTGAATGTGTTGGATACTAAGCAATATTTGCTTAGTCAGATATTTAAAGTATCAAGTTTTTGCATCAATAGTAGGAAGTAAAACAACATATTATATCGTCCTCATATATTTTCAGGGCATGTCAACCTAATTACTGAAGAAACTCGTGAAATTCAACTTTTAATAGCATTACTTTTACAAAGTAAATCATATTACTCATCGTGTAATTATAAGTTGAAAGAAACGAGAAATTGGATTTCATGTCGTCATAATGTTATTCAATTGCCATTCATTCTTTGCCGCGCTCTCTCGCTACATGTTTTAATATTACTTGAATTACAGCGTCATTGTAATAAATAAAAAAAGATACCGGCGCTCCACCCAGAGAGTGCTTCTTGATCTTTATTATGTAATAAAGTTCATTCTAAAACATTTCATTCTCATTAATAGGGGGAACATCGTCATCATTATTGACCATTCATCATTTCACCTATTTGAGTCTACTGCAGAAAATGGGCCTCCCCCATAGACCGTAACCAAGCACGATTCTCCACCTGGATCCATCGCTTACTGAAAGATACCCTGTCACCTTACATGACAGAGTTATGTCGGGTTCTTACTAACTAAACCCCCCTTGGTGGCTGCTACTCGAAAACCTTTTTTCCCAGGTCTAACATATATGGGCGGTCCATTGCCAGTTCAGCTTACTAATCTTCTGAGCTATGACGGTTATCTTTTTTCTAATGCGGACCTTTGTTGCGAACTCTATCACGTAGAGAAATACTGAGCATAACCGACTCTCCATGGCTCCCTGAGCAACTTCCTCATACTGCCAGCAGTGAAAGACCACGTATTGGTTCCGTCATAGATAACACACACATGTTAACATACACGGTTTATTTATTTTATTTCGTTTCTCTATTATCTTACTCTCTTATTCTCTTTTCAACCCTGTGGCCGATGAACCGAAAATGATACCAACCGTTTTAATACAAAATAAGTCAAATTGATCCGTTCGCTAGATGTTTGGAAAGTCTCAATTTCATTATTCACGCACAGATAGCGATAAATCGTTTTGTGTTTGAGTTGGCAGATTGCGAAGTGAGCTCATGTTTTTGTTGTGAGCGAGTAAACTTCGACTCCTCGGACGCCCGTGCCCGTTTTCCCCCCCCCCCCCCCCCCCCCCGTTTTATTTGCCTCGCCGGAAACGATACCGTTTATTATTGTTTAATGCCGAGATAACGATATGAAAGCACACCGTGCCTCCGCCCCGTATCGCCATTATTGATGTTGGACCTTCGTAAAATTGAAAATTACCGATTTCAACGTGGGAGTACTCGGATATAGAAGAATTTTTGTTAGTAAAAAAAAAGTGGGAAACAAGCATTCGGTCGATGATGGTAATGGTAACATCTTTGGGGTGCTTACCTCATTTCGAACATGTCTGTTCAGACATCTGAATCTACCATACTAAAAATTTAATTTAACCATTTCCTTCCTTTTACCTTCATTCGTCGTATATCGGCGGATCAGTATGGTTCTATGGTATCGGATCTCAAAGTAAGCTACGGGTCGACTGTAGTTAGAAGACGGGTAGAATAGTACCATTACGGGACGGGGTTAGAACAGAATGTGCATGCTCAGAATATTATATATGTGTATATTATATTGTGTATTTCAATCACAATTTGTGGCTGTGAGCAATATGTAATTAGAGAAGTATAAATCCCAATGACATGCGAAAATTTATCTAAACGTTTTAAGTGTCATCTTAATTTGAGATCCCACTTCTAAAAATAAAAATTAAGTTTCCAAAATATTTCATATCTCTGCCTCTCAAATAATACCATAGGATGCAGACAAGGATTCCTAAAAATGTTAAAGAAAAACGAAATAAATAAGTCGTTGAGAGTTTTCGAAAGGCACGGGTTCGAATTCAGGCGAAAATATTTTTCAACAATTATTAATCTACACATTTCAAATATACAGTCAGTATGACGCATTATGTTGTCTGTTAAATTATAATAAATCATATAATACACGATGGGAGTTGAAGATGCGATATTTAGCGGGACTCCAACCGGTAACCAGGTGCCAATTAAAAGTGTACCGAAAACTGGGCGCGAGCAAACACTGGAGCGTTTAGTTAGCGCCGTGTCAATAATACGAGGCGTTCGACGCGGCCGGTTTTTCCCAGCTGGTCGCGACGCACCGCAGCGAAGCGAACGAGTGTTTGCCCGGCAAGGGAAAATCAACAAGCCGCTTTGGAGCGCCGAATGATCGATCGGCGATCCTTGTCCGGCGGTCCAGTTAGACCGCTGGCCGGCCATTAACATCTCATTACCATACGCAAACGCTAGTCGCATAGGAAGGGCTTAGCGGGCTCTGTTCGCCAACAAGCCAGCTCGGCCACTTCATGCGCAATTATTGCACTTAGCTATTGTCTACACAAACGGAATGGCTGTTTGTTCTGCAAACGTAACGGGCCGTGGAACGAGATTAGGCCTTGTTTATACCCGCCCGCGCTCACCGTGAATCATACCTTGGCAACATTATTCCGTGTGCCATTACATTTATCGACTTCCCGACGATTCAGAATGTTTAGATGAATTACCGCTTGTATCGATGATGTTTGTATTTTTTTTAGATCCATTGGAATAGGTTCAAAATTCAGCTGCAGTTAAAAATGTCGATCTTTAAGACTAATATCTATAAAAAAGTATAAAGTAACTTATATCTATAAAAACTTATTTAAAGCAATGTAATCCATGAGAAAATAAACAAGATAATATACTTCCTATTCAAGGCGCTTTCTTCCCCTAGATATGAGCAGCTGAGAAAATTTCAATAAACCACGACGTACCACGTCTTGAATAATGGGATAATAAATACGGTATAACGCCAGCGTGGAGGCGCTGATAACAATACATTTTCGAGAATAATTCATAACAGTCGCATTTGTATGAAAGGGGGCACGTACACGGCGAAGTGCGGCCCAATTTCGGCGCACAATTTACCTGCAGATGCAACAAACACAAAGAGGCTATATTCGCGGAGGACCCAGAGGGCAGCGGGGGGTAGGGAGGAGGGGGCCCGTTCAGGCACCGTGCAGCGGGTCGGATTACTGCGGCCATCTGCCGGGCGACGGGGAACAATCAACCTAACGAGCCGCGCTCGCGACGGGATTAAAGCCTAATGCCCCTACGAACAATACCGTCAACGCCCTTTATCAGTTCCACTCGGCCAGGGCTGCCACCTTCTGGCCAAATCCGGCGCGAAACACGCCGCACGGTTGCCCGCGCTTCACGCTAATCGCTTCGAATTTCAAACGGCGTTTCCTAAGTCCAGCCGCTAGATCGATATCAGAGTTCGCCGCTTACGTCACATAAAGTCGTCAGTTTTCGTTTTCCTTTTAATTTAAAAATGTTCTAATTTGAAATATCTATAATTTTAGTTAAAACCGTCGCAATAACGCCTTCATTGTCGCGGTCTACGTTTTTATCTTTTTTTTAAACATAGCCCTTACTTTAGGATTATCCTGTGCTGTACAGACTTTTTAAATTGAAATCGAACCGACGACCCCCGACGCCGGAGGCAAATCCTTGGCAACTGCGCCACGGAGTCAAAGTCATTTAAAGTTCATATGTGATGTCATAAAGTGTGATGTTGATGATTTTGTTTGTTTGAACATCACACTCCACAATTAATCCATTGCAACTAAGGTATTTATGAATAAGCATCCAAAGACTGAAATCTTGTAGATAGCTCTTTATTATTTAGCCATACATTTTTTATGGAATTGATTACTTTTGCAATGGTACAGTGCAAAATTTGCAATCAGCCGTAAAATGAAATTGTTACACGGACGACAAATTTTAACGCGAGCCCGGACGCTCTCGAATTTCAAGGGGCATATGGTTTCTTCACGTTTAGACGCTAACGGATCGCTCGCGTCACTACAATGGCCCCCCTGTTCACGGCTAATCCTAAGTGGATTACTTCTGGGCCGCGGCTACGTCGTCGATCACCTCCTCAATTGGAGTTACGTTTTGTCTTTCTGTTTGTTTATTTCGTGACTGTTATTGTTTCGTTGATATCACGGGCGCGTGAAGAAAGGAATTCATCAACACTACATGTAAAAATCTTTTATACTCGTAAATCATCCTGACCGGCCTCTGAAAGCTTCATTTTAATCAGTAATTTAAATGTAACAACACTTTTTCAGATTTATGTTATTTTTGTCAATTGATATAACAGATAAGTCCTGTTATAAAACCAATTAATTCATTACTCCATAGATATATACTATATACTAGCGACTCGCCCAGGCTTCGCTACACTGCACACGTGTGCAGTGTAGTAAAAAAACGCATCAAGATCCATTGCGTAGTTTTAAATATCTAAGCTATATATATATTTAATACTAATGATGATTTCTTTCCTAGTATAATGTTGGTTTTTGGAGTACCTAATGTCAAAAGGTCGCGGAATAAAATTTTTATACACTTTTTTGAAGCCTATGACTTCTGAATCCTTATATATTACAGCATTCATTATTTATACGAGTACCTATTATTTGTCAAGTTTTACAAACTTTGTTTAAGGCAAAAAAATTTACGATTATCTTTTCACACAGATCTTTCGAAGCAGTTTTCTCAGCATTCAGAAGGCATGAAACTTAGAGTTTCTTCTTTACTTAGACTACGAAAAACAACAAAATTGAAATTTTAAATTGTTTATAGTGCTAATCTTTAATCGAACTCACAAACGTCATTCGGCATTCGCGGGATGAATTTAATTGTCTAGCTACGAAAAAATCTTTGCTTTTTAAATTAAATTGTTTATAGTGCTAATCTTTGCACTTAAGATTGAACATTAAAATATGTAGAAAAAGTGCGAAAAGATTGTCGCCGCTGTGGGAATCGAACTCACGTCTTCGGCATTCGCGGCCTGACGCTCTAGCCACTGAGCTAAACGGCTGATTGCCACACCGACGAAAATCTTAACGCATTCTTCTACATTGTTTTCTTAGCATTTGAAGCAATGCTTGGTGCCATCTATTGTTATATCCTTTCCAGCATACAAACAATTTCGAATATCGTTTTACAACGATAATTCGAACGAGAGATGTCGCCATTGCTTTTTAAGAAATTTTAAATTGTTTATAGTGCTAATCTTTGCACTTAAGATTGAACATTAAAATATGTAGAAAAAGTGCGAAAAGATTGTCGCCGCTGTGGGAATCGAACTCACGTCTTCGGCATTCGCGGCCTGACGCTCTAGCCACTGAGCTAAACGGCTGATTGCCACACCGACGAAAATCTTAACGAAAACTTTTTTTTCTACATATTTTAATGTTCAATCTTAAGTGCAAAGATTAGCACTATAAACAATTTAAAATTTCTTAAAAAGCAATGGCGACATCTCTCGTTCGAATTATCGTTGTAAAACGATATTCGAAATTGTTTGTATGCTGGAAAGGATATAACAATAGATGGCACCAAGCATTGCTTCAAATGCTAAGAAAACAATGTAGAAGAATGCGTTAAGATTTTCGTCGGTGTGGCAATCAGCCGTTTAGCTCAGTGGCTAGAGCGTCAGGCCGCGAATGCCGAAGACGTGAGTTCGATTCCCACAGCGGCGACAATCTTTTCGCACTTTTTCTACATATTTTAATGTTCAATCTTAAGTGCAAAGATTAGCACTATAAACAATTTAAAATTTCTTAAAAAGCAATGGCGACATCTCTCGTTCGAATTATCGTTGTAAAACGATATTCGAAATTGTTTGTATGCTGGAAAGGATATAACAATAGATGGCACCAAGCATTGCTTCAAATGCTAAGAAAACAATGTAGAAGAATGCGTTAAGATTTTCGTCGGTGTGGCAATCAGCCGTTTAGCTCAGTGGCTAGAGCGTCAGGCCGCGAATGCCGAAGACGTGAGTTCGATTCCCACAGCGGCGACAATCTTTTCGCACTTTTTCTACATATTTTAATGTTCAACAAAATTGAAGTTGCGCGCTTGACTTGCTAAGTGCAGCTATAACTTTGTCATGCATTGAACTAAATCTTCGCTAGGTAATTTAAATCTTCTAGGTGGCCCAAGTGAAATAAGCAGTTTGGATTTAACTGATACAATATCTTTTGTTAGCTCTACTTTGTTTTATCGAGCTAAGCAGTTAGAAATATAAATACTTTTACCAAATACCGATTGGGCAGTAATATCGCGTATACTTCTTGTTGACAGCCAGAAGAGAGACGAAGACGACGACGAAGACCATGAAATGCTTCTTGCAGCTTCATTTATATCTCACAGAATGACATTTCTTTTAGTGTTGCCAACAACCTCAAGGAATGACTTCCTTTATCGTTGCCAACACTTTATAGTTTGTATTGACTCCGGATTGCGTTTAATTTCTGTTTGTATTTACTGAAATATTACCCAGGAATAGAAATTAAAAGTAACACAAAAATCTAATCCTAAATTTACTTAGTGAAAATTAGCAACATGTGCTGAATGTACGCAAAGCGGGTGCCGTGCTTATTCAATTTAAAGTGGAATTAACGAATTGCTTCACTTCAATATACTACAATAAAATCACGCATTTATTGATACAGTAAAAAAGCCATAATAGCCTGTAAATGTCCCATTGCTGGGTAAAGGCCTCTTCTGTAAAGAGGATATCCGAGTATAGGATCGCGTGGTGGACGCGACCCCACTCCGGATTGGCGGACTTTACATATTGTCGAATTATTTTTTTTTTTTATTATTATTTCGAAAATATGAAGGTTTCCTAACGATGTTTTTCTTCACTGCTGAGCACGTTTTAGCACTTAAAATTAACAATTTCATTGGTGCTGGCACCGAGGATCGAACTCAAGTTGCTCGAGTAAATGTAATTAAAGGCGCGCGCCCGGACACTAAGCTATCACTTCTGGTAATAAAAATTTGCAATGAAACAATTTTTTTTATGAGAGAATATCTATAGTACTTTATAAAATACTATTACTATGATGATTCGGTCGCCCAACAAAGCCATTCTACTTAACTAAGCCTTAATTGCAGGTTTTGGTTTCGATTCCCACACGGAACAAGTATGTGTTTGATCCAGATAATTGAGTGTTTTATCCGAGCTGAGTGTTTTATCCGACGGAAGATTGAGATCAGGCAGGCGGTCCGTCATAAAAAACATGATTCATATAAGGGGGATAAGGGCAGCAGAAAGAAAGAATATAGGTACTCAAAACAAAAAAGAAACTTTTCACACATGATTTTAATATAAAAAGACTATGCCACGTATGTACATATACGTGAACGGCGACATATGCACGGCCTTCGAAAGCAACTCTATCCCGGCGGCTTTAAATAAATTGGCCAATTCGCGCTAGATTGCAACACATCTGCGCGTAACGTATTGCGCGTTGAATAGAACCGAATGTCGGAGCCTAACTATTGGCATTTCTCATTCCATTGTACAATATAGAAGCGGCGAGTTACCTTCCTCTCTATTTTCCACGACTAGATTCTGACCATTCCTCATAAACGATATATGAAGGTGGCGGATACCACTTGTCAACACGAAGGCGGGAGAACGGGCAAAACGAAGCGGTGCTGCCAAAAGTACGTGACCTTAATGTATATCAATCCGGACGTGATTTATAAGGGGCGGGATCTCTAAAATATGATATAAAATAAACATTGACAACCGAAACGATGAAATACGAGGCAGCGCTGTGATTTAAGGGCGTATTTCACGAGATTTTATGGCCCTATAAAATCAGCGCGCGACGTGCCGAGGCGCGCTCACGTATTGCAGAGATTTGACAAAACAGACGACGGGCATTTATTTGTTCCGCTTAGTTTTTTTTTTTAAGCTTTATGGACTAGTGCCAGCTATATAGTTCGAGCGTTAGGCGCTTACGTCCGACAGAGTAAAAATTGAGACAGGCAATTCAATTTGTCCGGAAATAGGTTCTCGAGTGAGCGGTTATTATTTGCGCTCGTCTTGTATTCTCGAGTGTCTACGTAGGGCTTTCACAAATAGATGAGGCGATCTGCCTTGCAACTATCACACCGTAAGTTAACGTTTCTTTCTTTTTTAATCGAAACAATACGGAAGATATATTTTACGGAAACCTCTAATCAGAACGAAACAATCACAAAGCTTAAAATGAGAATGAACTCATTCATT